TTTGATAAAACATAACTTTGCTAAAAATATTAAAAGAGGTCTATTGATGATGTTCGTAATAGAAAAGAAAATGGAGGACACTTTTAATAAAACTATCAAATCAAGTATTATTGTAAAAATACTATTTTGTTCTTGTACTTGAATATTTGTACTTATACTTGAATACTTGTGCTTCTACTTGAATACTTATATTTATACTCGAGTGCTACTGAACTAATTTCTTTCGCTTTTTGCCCGTCGTTTCCTTCGCAATTAGTATTTCCACGCTTTCTTACACGCGTTGCGTTATCCCAAGTACAAATATTTCAGCACCGGTGATGTAACAGTTGTGCGCAGAACCTGCTCATCAATGTTAGCAAAGTGCAACGATCGCACACGCGAGGCTATTGTCTTTGCAGATGTATCTCTGTGTCCATTCATGCCCACGTTTTCATATATGCAAAGTGTACGTCTGCGACGATCATTTGCGACAGGAAGTACACCGACGCCCACCGCGGTCTTTCTCGAAATACAACAAAGGATTCGCGCGCTTTTTTCACTTCTAGCTATTGCCGATCACTTTCGACTTTAAAGAAATAAAATTTATCAGCGATACGCGGAAAATGAGAGAACGGAATGTCGCTCCAGTCACCAAAACAAAGAATCACGTCATCGGTTTAATTGCTCAAGGAAGTTTGTTACTTTCATTAAAAAGAAACAAACGATCGATTAAATGTCGCGTATTTCTTGTACCTGTTGCACCAGTTACGCTGTTACGCTTTTCTGCGGACTCACCCGTCTAGAGAAATCCATCCTCTCTGTTTATCTGCTGGATTTAAACGAACGCATGTACGATATGCGCGAAGAAGCAGGGAGAAGGTAACGCCGTGTAACTGTACGCGGATAGAACTGAAACGTTCTTAACTTAAAAAAGAAACCGTACCGGTGCGGATACGTCCGGAAGTGGGCCCGGAACTCCGGTCGGCCACCCGTGACCACCATCGAGTGCTTTATGAATACGTTTTCATGCGGGTATCTCGTACACCTGTCTCATCTCTCTATACTTGCATTTTTTTTATAGTCGAATGACGGACTCCACCCATTGGCATGAGGATTTCTGCTATATAACGCGTGGCGATAATGCGTGACGTAGTATGGTGATACGAGAATATTTTCTGTGTATGCAAATATTGTTGTGATTGGACTTTATGAGTTTACTGTTTTGTTCATTTCTGAGGGGGTTAATTGGAGTTATAGCTATAGTTACGTCATTGTTTATAATGTTTGCGGAAACAATAGGTGATTAGGAAGGTTTATGATATTTACTTGTGATATAAGGGGTATAAAAGTTGCTTTATGTTCCGGTTTTTGGAAGAGATTAGGTGGGTACACAGGAATTGCTAAGGGAATGTGATATAGGGATTAACAGTGTGCTTTGACTTACTAAATTTATGGTATTAATAGTATTGATAGCTTTGAAATAATAATATTAATATTATTTTGTAATATCGAAGTGAGAACCTTTTTCATTTTTCATTAATATACACGAATGTTTTAAAATATTATAATTTCGCGCGCTTTTCTAGCAAATGGTGCCACTAGCGCCATCTAGCGGCGAAGCGGGTGAATTAAACCTAAAAAATGAGGGTCGGAATACGTATATAAGGAAAATAAAAAAATGAATATTTCGGCACTTTGACGACGTAGTATGGTTCCTGAGGCATTTAGAAACAAATTTCTATTAGGGTTTGAGGCGTTTTGATGCCTAATAACGCCAGAAAATCAATTTTTGTAGAATTCGGTCCAAAACGGTACAGGTGGCTAGAAAAATAGCCCATTTCATGGACCAAAAAATTGCCGTCCATCTAGCGGTGAAAGTTGGAACTACAAAAATAGAAAATCTCGATTTTCTCGAAAACTAGGGACTTTTCCGAAATTCTGAGATATACAAATTGTTCCTTATCACCTACGGAATCGAATGAGTACACTCATAGCCCGCTAGGACCCTTCTGAAAGAAATTAGAAAAAAAGCCCAATTCATGGACCAAAAAATTGCCGTCCATCTAGCGGTGAAAGTTGGAACTACAAAAATAGAAAATCTCGATTTTCTCGAAAACTAAGGACTTTACGATTTTCTCGAAAACTAGGGACTTTTCCAAAATTCTGAGATATACAAATTGTTCCTTGTGACCTAAGGAATCGAACGAATCTAATTAGAGCCTGCTAGGACCAATATTAAAGAAAATAGAAAAATAGCCCATTTCATGGACTAAAAAATTGCCGTCCATCTAGCGGTGAAAGTTGGAACTACAAAAATATAAAAATGCGATTTTCTCGAAAATTAGCGAATTTTGAGTACTTCTGACGCTGAGAGAGTGTTATGTGATCGTATTAGAAGCAAAATAAAGCAATAAAAGTTTCCTGAAAGCTTTAATAAAGAAAATAAAAAACATGTCATTTTATGGAGAAAATTTGTGGCGCCATCTAGCGGCGAAATTGCGAACTAAACTGAAAAAACGTATGTCCGAACACGCAGTAAAATGGTCAAATTGAAATTAGTTTTCTGGGCTTAATATGCCAAAAAATGAATACCCTTTTCAACAAAAATTGCTTTATAATGTCTAAAGAAGCATACTACGTCGTCAAAGTTGCGAAATATTGCTTTATATACTTTTCCTTAACGCGTGTATGGACATACGTTTTTTCAGTTTAGTTCGCAGTTTCGCCGCTAGATGGCGTCACAAATTTTCTCCATAAAATGACATTTTTTTTATTTTCTTTATTAAAGCTTTCAGGAAACTTTTATTGCTTTATTTTGTTTCTAAGGCGATCACATAACACTTTCTGAGCGTCGGAAGTATCAGAATTTCGGAAAAGTCCCTAGTTTTCGAGAAAATCGAAATTTTCTATTTTTGTAGTTCCAACTTTCACCGCTAGATGGACGCCAATTTTTTAGTCCATGAAATGGGCTATTTTTCTATTTTCCTTAATAACGGTCCTAGAGGGCTATGGAAGTACTCATTCGATTCCGTAGGCTATAAGGAACAATTTGTATATTTCAGAATTTCGGAAAAGTGCCTAGTTTTCGAGAAAATCGAGATTTTCT